CATTTTGAAATGCACAGAAACATCAAATCACCATGTTATGCACCAGGAACTAAGAGAGTGGTTTAGGTCAATTATACTTCAAACACAAACCAACCAATAAACAAACTCATAAAGAGATCAGATTTGTTGCTACCAGAGGCTAGGGGTGAATGGAGAAAGAATTGGATGAAAGCAGTCAAAATGTACAAACTTTCACTAGTAAGATAAATAAGTACTAGGGATGTAATATACAACATGATAGATATAATTAACACTGCTGTATGTTATGTATGAAAGTTATAAAGAGAGTAAATTCTGAGTTCTCATCACAAGGAAAATGTTTTTCTATTTCTTTAATTTTGTATCTATATGAGATGATTGATTTTCACTAAATGTATTGTGAGAAACATTTCATGATGTAAGTCAACCCATTATGCTGTACACTTTAAAATTAAACAGTGTTATATGTCAATTATATCTCAAAAAATGGACGAAAAAAGATATAAAAAGAATATTAATACATACAAAAAAGAAGTTGGAAATATGAGTGGGAAATATGGGTTTAAGTATATTGTTTAAATAATAGGTAAGCAAAAGCACAAGTAAAAAGATGTTATAATTATTCAAAAATTAGAAGGGGAAGGAAAGAGGGAGGTGTTGGCAATGATCTCTTGTATCTATAGCATGAAGAAATAATTTCTAAATTTGATAAATCAAGAAATAACAATACAAGCATATTTTTTAAAATAAGAAAGTAACCATCAAAAGAATACAAATAAAACTTGTTAAAAATAGATGCCTCTGAAAAGTAGGGTAAGAGTGGATACTGATGAGTTTCTTTACAGGTCCTATTATAATGTGGACTAAGAATGCTGCCTGTCCTATCAGGAAAGGATGTTGTGGTGATCAAACCATCAGCCACTACAGTCACTCCCAAGGTGCACCCTGAGGGGACTCAGGATAGGAAAGAACGGGATACTGGTCCTAGATAGTTAAGGTGCATATCAAAGGAATGATTTCAATGAGCCCAGACCTTTGCATCTTTTCACACTAGGAAAAGCAGTAAATTATTTAACTTGAGGTATCTGATTTTCTTTAATTAGCAATATCTGACTACCTGGTTTTTCTCGCAAAAACCCCTATAAATCTTGGCCCCTCCCTTACATCTTTGGAGCGGTACCTAGGAGCTATCTGAGAGGCTGCCTCCTGGGCTCGAATACTCAGGGTGTCCATGAAATGAAACATAATTCTCAACTTTTAGGTTGTGTATCTTTTCCATCAACAATGCTATTTTATTTATAATTATATGTGTATGTGTGTGCTGTATATGATGTCAATTTTTAGAATGTAAAAAGTAACACTTTTTTCAAAACTTCAAGGTTGAAAAATGAGATTAGTCTGATAAAATTGTACATTACACATTACAATTAGAAGAAACAAATGCCCATCTAATTGCATAAATACCCAAACTGCCATACAGAGGTTGAAAGACATAACCTATTTAATTGGAAAAGTGAGATCTATCAGGTTTTAGCATGAAGAAGTGGTTTAATGTTTTTTTTTTAAGTAACAGAGTCCTGTTTCAAAAGAAATATTGCTCTCAAAGTCCACTACATAAAACAGATCCAAGGGAAACTTCTTTGGCTAAAGTAGAGAAATAGGAGAACCAATCAAAAAATATACCCCTGGGAAAAAAACCTCTGAGAGAGATGAAACCTGTTAGATCATCTGGCCATTATTCCATGCTTGGGAAGTGAACCATATGACAGCCATTTAGAAGCTATTGCATAACAGAAGTTAGTGCCCAAAGTTTCACAGATTGGCTAATCTGATGGGAACTGTTGTCTTTGTGAAATTATTGCTAGTAGATGTAACCAGTGTCCAGGTTCTTGTCCCATCCCAGAAAGAATTCAGAGACAAGACACAGAGGTTAAGAAAGTAAAGTGGGGATTTATAAAGGGATAGATAGTACACTTCAAGGGGAGAGTGAGCAGGCTCATGTGGGCAGCTGCCCTGAGTTTCTTTGGCAAGTTGGTTACATTCAGTGCAAAAATGAATGGACAGAATATTCATTGGGGAGGGAAGGGTTTGGGGTAATTTTCCCCAATTTTCATCCCAACTCCACCTTCCCAAAGGGAGAAGAGATTTCTGTCCTTATTTAGTCTGGATCAGAAGTGTCATAGAAGTGGTGCATGATGGATACTTCTTATCTGCAAGGCTAATCTTATTGAAATGAAGGCATAATGGGCAAAAGGTTACATTCAGACACTGGAGATTCCTGCCTTTTCCCACTTTTCTTTGTCGACCTCTACCTTGTCACCAAAAAATGTGTGACCCCTTATCAGCTCAGAGGCTCCTGCTTTTCTTTCTCTGCCTAGGGACCTCTGATGGTTACATGATGTAAGGTTTCCTATATTTGGCCTGTGCCCCTCCTTTCTGCCTAATTCCTGCCATTTGACCTGTGTCCCTCTTTCTCTGCTCATATCTAGCTATCTGCCTGCTCTAAAAAAATGACTCAGTTACAAAATGACTCAGTTACAAAACAGCCTTCTAAGATTCTGATTATTCAAAGACCCTGTCCACTGGGGCCAAATCACCCAAGTTGAACTGACAACAGATTTGACTGGCCTGCAAATGAACTCTGCAAACAGGATAACTAGCATTAGCCAGCAAAACCATCCCTGACCAACAGTAACCAGTGAAATAGGTATACAGAGAGGACAGGAACACTCCAGGTTTCAGGTGAGTTTTCCAGGGATAGCCTGTCTTAGTAGGAATCCTCCAGGGCACAAGCAGGCTGTATGGGTGCTGTCAGACGAAGCAGAGTTATAATAAAATTTCAGTCAGCAGGTGGACTGTTTGGGAGTCCTACAGAGGGAAGTTGAGGGACAGCATGAGTGGAGAGGCCTTCAGGGAGAGACCTATATTGAGAGACCTGCAGAAAGAGGTCAGGTGGTGTCTTCAAGGTCATTGAGAGACCATGTATTCTGGGTGTGAGGCTGGTCAGAACCCTACCAGATATATCGCTCCAACTCTATCAATCCACCTATGCTGCAGCTAGAAATTTCAGGAGGACTCCTTCCTGCACTATCCCTCCAGCACCCTCTACCAAGAAAGCTGAACATCTTGCTCATTGTAAAGGAGAGATGCTTAAAGGAATTCTGTCCATTTTCACAGAACAGGTATCAAAGAGTGCTGGAACTCAGGGGCAATAAATTCATAACACACAGGGGTAGACCAGAAGCTACATTTTCTAGTCCTTAGTTCAGTGCTCTTTCTACTACTTTAAATTTTACTACTAGGCTAATTCTAGAGTTTCTTGAAAATGATTCTCACACAGAGCTGGTCACTTCCCTGTAGGTGAGCAGGTTAGTCTCACTGATAAAGAAGCAGGAAAAAAAACTGATAGGAATTTAACCTTCCTAAGTCTCAGTTTTTTCACTGTGATAATAGATAATACACACCCTACTTCACAGGTTTGCTGTAAGAGTTAAGGAAGACAGCATATATAGAATCCTCAGCCTAGATATGGAACATAGGAAGTATATGATAGAAAATTGTCTTCTTTTCCTCAGATGACATGAGGTCAACCATTGCAGTGTATTCTGACTTTTATGTTTCCTGTTCTCACTCAGGAATGAAAGCAAACTGGGAGTGAGGGTTTTCACATCTGTCCTTCTTCATCCTCTTTATTCAGGGTTTTGTAACTGTTATGTCACTTAAGAGGTAGCTAGTTATTTTCATAGCACACTTGTGATTTTAAAGGTTCCTTTCTTCTTCAATTATATACTTTCCTAATAAGGTATTTCTGTTAATGAGACTCCAGATGAACTGGGTAGAATCCAGAATTGCTGGGCCGTCCAGAGAACTCACTCACTTGAATGCCAGTTACTCAAATAATGCCATGTCAACTTAACTGATGATATCAGGCAGTGGCAGCATGTCCACTAGTCTGCTCTTTCTTCTCAAAACTTACTACTTTCATATTAGCCCTGAAAGGGCCAGAAGGTTGGTCAAGAATCTTCATTCACTTCCTGTAGACTATATTAGTCACATGTTACATACATATTGGAGCTCACAAAATGGGCCTACATCTACCTGAAAAGAATAAATATGATAACTATTCATACCCCTTCATGAGACATTGGGGAATCACAGAAATCCATGTGTGGTCAAACTAGAAGGAATCTGATATTATCTGGCAGAATGATGTCCAACTGAAATTTCTAGGTGGTGGAGAGTACAGCTCAGTGGTAGAGCACATGCTTAGTGTGCACAAGGTCCTTGGATCAATCCTCATTACTGCCATTAAAAATATATAATTAAACCTAATTACCTCTCTCCCCCCCAAAAAAATACATTAAAAAAGAATAAAAAAGTTTCTACAATTATGGAAATGTTCTATATCTGTGCTGTCCAATACAGCATCACATGTAACTGTTGAGCATTTGAAATGTGACTAGTACGATTAAGAAACTGAGTTGCTAACTTTATTTATACAGTCCTTGGCTACTATACTAGATAGTATGGCTGAACGAAAAGAATGTGGGATTTGAAGTTAAAAAGATCCTCAGGTCTAAATCCTGGCTATTGTCATTTCCTAACTATATAACTATAGCTTTGGTCACATTCTTTATCTTGTCCAAACTTTAGTTGACTCATTTGTAAAATGGGGATAATACCAGAACCTCACAGAGTTGTTGTGATTAGAAAATGCATATAAAACATCTAGCCCTCGGCTCAGCACATAGTAAGTAGTAATTAAATAATAGCTATTATTATCAAGCTCCTCATTTTCCAGATGGAAAAACTGAAGTTCTAAAAGGAGAAGTGTCTTGTCCATGGTCACAGAGCTAGTTAGAAGTACAGTAAGGAGCTAATTTCAGATTTTGTCACTTTTTTTGATGATGAGTTTTCTTATAAAGATGAATCCTCCTCACCCCTGAAAAGTGGAGGGTGGTAGCCCAAACAATTACTCAACTGCTATAAAATAAAATCTTATAAATATAGAGAAAATATACCTTTGTGAAGCCTATTTGTTCCTTCCGGAAATTTTCCAGGGGTTTGATCAGCAAATCACTAGCATTGTGTACCTAGAGAAAAAGAAAGAACATAAAAAATAACATTTAGATTAGTAAGGTTCACATTTAAGATTCATTGTACCTAGGGCATTTCTTTATTATACACAATCCTGCAAAATGTTAACTAGTTTGCTGGTTTGTTGGATTTTGTTACTGTCATTTTCCCCCTATTCTTCTTTTAAAATCAAATGCTTTGAGAGGAAACAAGAGAAGGAGCATTAGGGGCATTACTCTATAATTTTACTGGTAGTCTGATCTGAGTTTTTAATTGATAAATGTCCAGAGTCGTGCCCAGAAACAGACATAGGAGACCTGAGGTGTATGTGGAAAAGAGAAGAGAAAGGGAACAGAAAATACATGAAAATGCAGTTGCACCAATGCAAACCATGTCATGGAAGCCAAATAAGTTAGCAGCAATAGCATCAGGAAAAATCCAAGTATAAATTGTTTCCAGTCCTACCCTGGTGTGTCATAAACAGAAAATTTTCCTCAGAACTTGAAGTCTATTACAGCATCACAGAGAACACTGGACCAAGCCTTCAAATGACCTAACTATATGGTCAGACACTGATAGGGACAGCCTATCCAGGTACCCAAAATACGGCACTAATGTGATTTTGGAAATATAAAAACATCATATTCACACTGAACCCCTTGCCCAGTGGGCAGGTAGAGATATATAAAATTTTGGCTTCATATAAACCTCTTGGGAGATTGCATCTACACAAGGCAAAAGTAGGTTTTGTTTCTTTAGTGGTGTGAATTACCTGCCCTTTAATGGAGGATCTTACAGAACGCATCTGAAAAGCTTGATTTTAGGACCCATTTCATTAATTTTGATCCATTACAAGACAGGAAAATAAGGGGCTGGTTTCCTTGTCAAATGAGACAAAGTGTCAGCAAGACAAGACAGAAGAGAGATATGTCTTAAAATAGAAGACAGAATAGAAAGTCGGTTTTTAGCAGACTTGTATTTCCAGACTATGAAGCAATTTTTAAATTACCACCAAAATGCATAGTATTAATACATATTTTATCCAGGTCCTACAGGCACTTTAAACCTCCTATTTTGTCTGCAGGTATGACTCAACATTGAACTAAAGGGGCAAACTCATTCAATCAAAGCTCCACAAGCAGCTCTGGTACCAAAAATAAAGATACCTTGATTGAAAACAATAATTATTTTACTAAAAGTACTAGCCTGTCTCTCTTGCCCAACACACTCTACATTTCCATGGATTGTGAATTATATGCTATCAACTTTGTATACCCACCTGAAAAAAAAGTCAATGGTGTTACAGATTCAGTACAGGGCGTAGTTTTTCTTCTTTACTTTTTAAAAAATATAGTTCAAAAACATAGCCACAAATTATGTGACACTCCTCCTATTGAGAAGAGAGGTCTCTCTTTCCTCTACCTTGAATATGAATAAGTTTGTTACTGCTTTGAACCAATACAGTACAGCAGAAGCAACACTATGTGACATCCCAGGCTAGGTTATAAATGGACAGTAACTTATACCTGGTTCCCTTGGAACACTTCCCCTGGGACCCCTGAGTCACTATATAAGAAGTTGGACTACCCTGACACTACCAAGCTAGAGGAGCCAAAAGTCCAGCTGAGTCCAGCCTTCCAGTCACCCCACCAAGGTGCCAGATATGTGAGTGAAGCCATTGTGGACCCTCCATATCAACCCACTCCCCAGGTGAATACTACCACATAGAGCAAAAGAATCTCTGAACTGATCCCTGCCTGAATTCCTGACCCACAACATAATGAGATAAAATTAAATGGCTTTAGTTTAAGTCACTAAATTTTAGAATAGGTTGTTATGCAGCAATAGATCATTAGGAAAACTATTTGCAGTTTCACAAGGGTAACACATAAGTAGTCAACTGGGAAACACTGAGGAAGTTTGTCTTTGAATAAGAAGTGAGCATGCCATTTCTAAACAGAATAGTATGTGTCAAGCCTATGTATGGGTTTTCAGTTGAGCTTTTGCATATGCAGGCACCCCAAAGAATGGTACAGTTGCCAGTTTTTCATGTTCCAAGGGAAATTTTCTTGCTAAAAGTAAGTAGGTGTGCCAGTAACTTCTCACAGAGTTCATAAGGCTACTATTTTTACCTGTTTAGCCTTGTCTCTTTCTAGAAAAAGTAGTATATGATCTACTTAAATTGTTGTCCATAGTTTTCTCTTAATCACACTGGCCATACTGCTCCCAGTCCCCTCAACACAAATAGATATTCTGAATCTTTTCCTCTCTTTAACACTCATTAGTTATTATACTACTTTCTGACAGAACGTAGAGCTAGAAACGTAGGAAAATGTCACACTGAGACTTGGCTCTTTTTTTCTTTTTCATTCAGTTTTATCCTTAAATTCCTTAGAAGTCTAACAATTACTCAAAAACTTTCTTTTAATTAAACTTGGCCTTTTTTCCCTTTCTGATCACTGCATCCATTTTGTGAGCTCTCTAGAAGAAAAGCTCCTACCTGCTATCTCAGAGTAGAATCCCCAGCATAAGTGACGTTATAAACACATTAGTCAGTTTATTTAATTTGGTTCTCAGTAAATAAACCCAAACTAGATAGGCCATTTAGCACAATAGAGATGACATTCAATCTAGTAGTATAGGATTGTTCAGGAATCTTTACTGTTTAACTATAAACAAACGAAGGCACTGAGGGTACCCTGTTTTAGGTCGCTCTTGGCAATTCTCAAAGACAGACCTTACCATTGCCAAGAGTCCCCTTCAGAGTCAGAAGGTTATCTAGGCAAGCTTCCTATTTTCAATCATACAAAAATCTATTATCCAGACTTTTAAAGGCAACCTTGTGAGGTACTTACAACCTCCTCCAGGTTACTGTTTAAGAAATTACAGCTGGGATGTTCGTCTTCATTTATTCCCTCCATAGCTCCTTCCACAATTTAAAACTCATTGATAAGAATGACTAGACATTTGCAGTTGTCACATAACACGGTTGTGAACTTCGTTCTTGTTCCACTAAAGCTTCTTTTGGTCTCTTGTTATAGAAAGGAAAAAAGTGGCTTCAGTCTCCCAGATTATCCATACTGAAGTACAGGAGTCCTTTCACCACAGTCCCAGGAAATGAGAGAGGTGCCATCAAGCAATGAATTCCTGGCATGTTGTGAAAGGCCTTCATTGAGCCTAAGCTTCAGAGCATTCCTGGAATTAAATGGGAACTGGGGAGCCAACATTCAATACATGATTGAAGAACCCTGGGAACGAAAGGGCACAACATAATTAAAGACAGAAGAAAATGAGTCAGTCCTGTGGAAAACAGCCAGCAAGAATGGTGAGAAAAACATCTCAAAAGGTGTATCCCACTTTCATGTTTTAGAGTTTTGTAATTGAGTACGTTAAAGAGAACAAGAACTAGGGCTAAAAAGAAATACAGCTCAGATTTCCAGTGGTATCTGAATGAAATGGGGGTTAATGCCTTCAGACCGCTATTCACAACCATTGGTAGCAGTCCACAAACTCTTCTGACATAAGAAAACATTTAGTAGAGTATGGATTAGATAGTGGGACATCTAACAGGCTCCAGGGAACCTACCCATATTGCCTCTCTTCAGTATCTTCAGAAGCAAATCTCTTAAATGAAGAAAATTCCCAAGTCAAATTACCACAAGCAGAAACTTTGGGGGAGGCAATAAAGATAACTAGAGACATTTAAATAATCAGTACTTTTTGCTATCTATAAAATACTTCCATATTCATTTTATCATTTGGGGTATAACAACCTTGGGAAGTGGGAATTATTTTACTCAATTTTATATATAAAGAAAGAGAGATTCAGAGAAATATAGTGATTAATGTGAAGTCACCAAGTATGTTAGTGGCACAGCCATTACTAGAGCCTAAGTTTCTACTTCCCCTGTTTCTAAGCCCTGCCTTCAGGCCTACTTCTTAAGGATCCTAGATAAAATAGTAGCAGTATTCTGAGAAGCCAGTACCACACTGTTGAAAAGGAAGAGAGATTACATATTAACAAACTCTTGCTACTGGAATAAATGGGTTTAACAAAACTGAGCTGCCAGCAGAAAGTCATCTGATGAGAGAAAGGGAAGACAGATTTCATTGCTGCCCTTTACATTATTTCCACTTTACCTCCATGCTTTTAATAAAAAATAAATATTGACTAAAATACGGAATTTCATCTTTAAGTCTCAAATAGCTCTGGGGTGGGGCCAAGGACCTGTATTTCTAAGAAATTTCCAGGTGACACTGGTAATAAGAGTCAAGAGACAAAACAAAAAGATTATTTCTTCAACTGTTAAAATAGAGTTCACAGAAAAATTAAATACTTAGCAATAAGTCTTACAAAATATGTACAAGATCTATATGAGGAAACTATAAAACTGTGATGAAATTAATCAACAAAAATCTAAATAAATGGAGAGATAATTCATGAATCATAAGACTCAATATTTTTAAGATGTCAGTTTGTCCCAACTTGATCTATAGATTCAATGCAATCCCAATCAAAATTCCAGCAATTTATTTTGTAAGTACAGACAAACTGGTTCTAAAGCTCACACCCAACTTTAAGACTTACCTCAAAGCTATAGTAATCAAAATAGTATTATAAATTTATGACATTTTTCACAGAAATGGAACAAGTAATCCTAAAATTTATATGGACCCACAAAAGACCCAAAATTATTGAAGTACTCTCGAGGAAAGAGAACAAAACTGGAGGCCAAGCCATACAGACTTCAGACAAACTACAAACATACTGTAATCAAAACAGCATGATATTAGCATAAAAAGACATACAGATAAATGGAACAGAATAAAAAGCCCAGAAATAAATCCACACACACACAGAGCGGTAACCTACAACAAAGGAAGCAACAGTATACAATGGAGAAAGGACAGTCTCTTCAACAAGTCATGTTTGGAAAACTGGATAGCTGCAAATAAATCAACAAAATTAGAAAACTTCTTCATACCATATACAAAAATAAACTCAAATAGACTAAAG